AATAGATTTATAAATCGCATCACCAGCAACAATCTAAATAAAACGAAATTTTCATAAACAAATATTACAAAAAAAAAAAAAAAAAAACTTTAATATATACCTGCCAATGATGAAATACTGACATACAAAATGCTTGACCTTGTGTATGTGTACGAAGGTCAGTTTCAAAACCCATTGAATCAATAGCTGGAATAAACGCTTTAAGTGTATAAAGTGGTGAACCAGGTACTGGTGCGTCAAGTGTAACATGACCTCTATTCAATGAAATTTTATGTTTTTTTTTTTTTTGTAATATTGATTTATGAAAATTTCGTTTTATTTAGATTGTTCCTGGTGATCCACTTGATAAATCAATTGTTATTCGACCATTAGAAGCTCAACCTGTAAATCATTTAGCAAGAGAATTTATGATTAAAACACGACGACGAAAAGTAAGAATTGAATTTTTTTTGAAAAATAAATTTTTATTTTTTTTTTTTATCTTTTAGGGTCTTAGTGAAGATGTTAGTATTAATAAATTCTTTGATGATCCAATGTTACTTGAATTAGCAAGACAAGATGTTCTACTTAATTATCCAATATAGATGAACAAATATTATATAGTTGTCAGATAGATTTTGTCTGTGTTTTGTTTGTCTATCTGCCTATAATATTGTCAATGTTCTTGTTGTTATTAAAAATAAAATTTTCACAACAAAAAAATTAAAAATATATTTATATTCAATCAAGCTAGAATATAAACAATCATTAAAATACTTGTATTTAGATACAAAGTATAACAATGGAGAGAAATATTAGACAATATAATATGAATAGATACTTTTAAAAAACGGTATCTTATTACAGTAGTATAAGACTAATTGTATTCATTTCATAGACAATAATAAATGATCAACCATCGATCGAATCATTAAACACATGGTTTATAACTGACGAGAGAATCTTCCGAAATGCTAAAAAACTTTTTTTGAGCTCAAATTTTGTCCACAAGTAGCGGATGTATAGACTATAAAAATTCTAAGAAGATATCGACTTTTTGCTATAATTTTCCTGTAGGATCCCATTTTCCCGATAAAATCAAAGTTTCGAATTTGAGTCTGAAACTTTGCCCACATGAAAGTCTCTATCGGACTAACTTGCTTACAAAGTTTTAGAATTTTTGGGATAAAGTATCTCTGAGATATGAATTTTTCAAAATACCGATGCATAACATAATAGGCCTACAAACGCGTTTTTATACTAATATCTCCGAGATGATTTGTTCAAAAATTTCGAAACTTAGTAGGCATACTAGTCTAGTAGAGACCTTCATATGGTCAAAGTTTCAAAACTAAAATTCGAAACTTTGATTTTACCAGAAAAATGGGATCCTACAGGAAAATTATAGTAAAAAGTCGATGTTGTAATTTGTGTCAATATCTTCTTAGGATTTTTATAGTCCTTACATCCCGTACTTGTGGATAAAATTTGAGCTTAAAAACTTTTAAGCATCTTCGAAGGTTCCCTCATCAGTTCAATAATTTGACAATAATGGAATTTAGAATGATTAACTCTTTTCATATGTGTTAGACTTGTGAATTTGTTATAAATATGATCGTTTAATTTCTACCTAAATATGGTCCCATGAATATGTCTGCAGTCTTATCTTTGTTTTATTTTATCTACCTCTTAAATAAATAAAAAACCTTGTATATAAGAATAAAAAAAAAAAAAAACTATTTCTTCTCTCACTATGATATTTATATAACATGATCTTGTTATCTTCACTATAGGCAATATCAAATTTTATTTAGTTATCAGTTATAAAAGAACCAAAAGCTAAGACAAAGAATAAGAAAATTTAAAAAAGAAAGATGCGATCTCTACCGACGATTATTGGACCTCAGGAAAATGGAAAAATTCGCACTTTTTTAAGTCATATAACTTCTAGACATCGTATTATTATTGCTTTCGTATTTCTTGGTTTACTTTCACTTTCATTGCTTATTGCTGTTATTGTTCAAGCACGATCGAATGGAAAAAATGATAATAATATCGATACGAATACGATATCGAGTACGACTACGGCTATGAATAAGATTGAATATTGTCTTACTCCCGGATGTATTTCAGCAGCAGCACATCAATTACGTTCTATAAATAGTACAGCATCATCCAATTTATGTACAGATTTTTATACATATGCATGTGGTAATTGGATTAAAACTCATCCTATTCAATCATATGATGTTGAACGAACAATACTTGGTGATATAATTGATCATCGTGATTTTGAAATTGAACGTCTTCTTGATGCACCTATAATTCGTACGAATAAACGAAGTTGGGAATATAAACTTAAAGTTTGTTTAAAAAATTCACTTTTTCATTTTTTTTTGAAAAGCAAAATTATTTAGACATATTATTCCCAATGTCGAGATGATTATGCACGAGTACTTAATAGTGGAGAATTTATGATTGCAGTTATACAATCTAATGATACACTTGATGGTTGGTATCTTTTTGATAATACTACAAATCCAGAAATTTTATTAAAAAATCAAACTCTTTATAAACAAATATCTCATATTCATGGAGATTATGGCAAGTTAATAAAGTCTTATTTTTAAATTAAATTTACGGTGAATTTATTTGTTTTTTATCGTTAGGTGTCATGGCTGTATTTGGTATACGTACAAGATTTGATGAGAATGATACAAGTATAAAACGACTTGAAGTATAGAAAATATAATAAAAATAACAACAATTATATATAATTAGTTTTTTTTTGTAAGTTATTTCCATCTGGTCTATCAATGGAAGTCAACGATTATGTGGCTACTGATGCAATATCAATATCAGTAAGTCAAATAAATTGATACTTATATAATTACATCGTCCTATTTCGAAATATTATAATATTTCTGTATGAAAGCAAAAAGTATCAATGAGAAATATCAAATAAAATAATTCGTTAACTATAAAACTTTTCATTCCAAAAAAGACACTTAAATATGGAATGTTTTTCGAAAGGAAGAGAGAAACTACTTGCTAACTTGTAAAACAACATGATTCATGAATGCTAATTATTATAACAAGAAAGTTACGTAGTTTGGTGTTTCACGAATCATCATCAATATTTTCTGTAGGTCATGATAATCTATAGAAGTAAATGATAAGTATCTATTGTTTGCTTTCATTACACACACTACATAACATATTTTAATTAACACTTTTGTTCGCATAGAACAAGAGACGTGCGGGATGTGATTTATAACATAATTTATCAAAAAATCTGACTAGAATTTTTAATTCGAATTCAAATAAATTTTCTCGTAGTCCTATTTCCACATATCACTATAAAAAAAAAAGGTGTAGAATAATATCAATCCTGAAAGGATTCACATAGTGTATTGGTAAACTCTTGAAGATTTAATTATCTTGATATTCGTATAAAAGTTTATGAAAATTTAATGTAGGCTTTAAAATATTTTACAATTTCTGTTTGATTTGAAATAATTTACTAATTAGTTTATTTTTAGCGTCGTACAAATTTGCAAATATATATTGTTAAAGTATTAAGTTTACTTGCTGAAGAAGCAGGAATAAATGATCAGAATCTAAATCTTCGAGTGTTTACTATTGCTAATGATGTACTTGATGTTGAAAAATTTCTAGCCGAAGTATGTATATCAATATTATGAATTCATATAAAATATATTATTTTATTCTTTAGAGTCTTCAACGTAATCCTACGTCTAATGTACCAAGAACAACAACTTTACAGGATATCTCAGCACAATTTTCAGTAAGATAAAACAATATCAATTATTAAAAAAATGTTAAAATCTTGTTTTAGTTTAATTTTAGTCAATTAATAGCACATGAATTAGGTGATGAAAATGTTATCTCAATATTAACACCTATATATTTGTTAAATACAATGTATTTTACAGATGCATTTGAATATTTGACAAATGATAACGAGTAAATATAATTTTTAGATCAAGATTTATTCTCCCACTTTCAAAAGTCGAAATTTTTGTTTCCTTTTGTTGCCATTGTATAGTATGAAATAGTATATAATCTACTGATGAGGGAAGATTTTCAAGTGATAAATCATGTTTAAACTGGAACTATATTCAATCGATAGACTTTTAGTAAGTAAGTATATACCATAGAATCATTCGAACTATTGAATCTTTGCTGGTAAGTTTCCGAATTCTGTAATGAATTTTCTCTTCAGGATTCTAGTTTTCAAACAATATTATACTTTTCAATTTTAATATGGAACTTTATCTATATAAAAGCACTGATTAGACCAGCTTTAAAAAACAAATTTCAGAATTTTTTCACTTAGTCTCTCCGAGATATGAATTTTTATAAATACACGTGCTTTGCTATGATAATTCTAAAAAACATAAATATTTAGAAAACTTCATATCTTTAAGATACTTGATCAAAAAAATCTTGACATTATTTTTAACAAACTAGTCTAATCGATCACTTTATGTAAAGTTTCAGATTAAAATTCAAAAGTATAATTTCACTTGAAAACTATAATCCTACAGAAAAAGTCTACTAAACATTCGAAATCTCAGCAACTCATTCATCACAATCTATCGATAGAATATAGTTAAGATTTGAACGAAATTTTTTCACATATACTATATCCTGTTTGGGATTAGCGTTCTTTTTCTTTTTTTGTTTCAAAAAATATTGTTCTACTGGTTTTTGATGGTTCTATTTAAAAAACATCAGTCGAACATAACATCTGAGAGAAACAAATGCAAAACCCAACGCCATTGTGATTCTAGTATTTTATAAAAGACAGTATTCGGAAATTTTGAATCTATGAAAACTTTAGCTCTACTCGTTAAGATCTATCCACCTTGAAAATTTCATATATTTTCGATACACTATTTTTCAAAAACTTCGAAGACGGAGAGGAAGGTCTTGTAAATCTTAAATTTTCATAATCTATAATATTTAGTCCTGTATTTGCACGAAAGATTCATAATTATCTTCGATGGCGTCTTGTTTCGACTTATATTGAGGATCTATCATATAATTATGTTCATGCACATCGATTATATCTTAATGCTTATTATGGTTATGCATTACATACAACAAATGAAGCTTATTGTACACGTGAAGTTGTACGTCGATTTCCACTTGCTATTCAACGTTTATATATAATGAATTCAACAAGATATTCTAATACTGCTACAACAGTAAAAATCTTCTTATTATTATTGAATAAAATAATAACGAATAATAAAAAAAAAAAAACAATATATTGTTTTCTTTAGATTCAAACAATTTTTGATTCATTAAAAAATGGATTTAAAGAATATATTAATCAAAATGCAAAATGGATTGTTGATGATGATACAAAAAATATTGCTAGAGAAAAAATTGATAAACTAACAGTAGCTATTGGTTATACAGCAATTGCTTCAGATGATACATTACTTGATAATTATTATCAAAATGTAAAAATATAAATTATTTGTAAAATTTTTCTTTTTCAATATTTTATTATAAATAATATTTAGTTTACTGTTAATGATAATTCACATCTTGAAAATGCAATATATTATCATCGTTTTCATCGATGGAGTTTATCTAATTCAATACGAAATCCAAATATGCTTGATCATTGGGATTATTTCGAAACACGAACAAGTCGACTTTTTGAATATATTCCTATTTTTAATCGTTTATTTATTATTACTAGTGGTATGAATGAACCACTTGTTAATTCTGAATGGCCATGGTAATAAAAATTGAAATTTTTAATCATAATCTATTTTCTTATTCTATTAGGCCTGTTAATATAGGATCAATTGGTGTTCTACTTGCTCAAAAACTTTTTGCTAGTATAGATGGTCCTGAAGGTAAATAATTATAATTATTATTAATTTATATATGTACTCAAGGCAATGCCAAAAGTTCTGGCCAAGGCGTTTATAGGATCTTTTCGGAATAGGGAACTTATTGAGGTACGTCGAATGGTATATAGTAAATCCTGTTTTCATAAGACTTTAAAGAAACTAGAGTCAATTTACTGATAGATGACTATACATCCACATCCAAGCATGATAAATTTCTGAATAGTGTGGTCCTTGGTATTAGTAAAATATTTTTTCTCACATACGATTTTGTAGAGTTTTTGACGGACTAACAACCTTCTATATGTAGCGTCTCCGGTCATCTTGTCAATGTGGGTGTGTAATCATCTATCAGTAAATTAACTCTAGGTCTTTCAAAGTCCTATGAAAACAAGATTTACTATATATACTATTTGACGTGCCTCAAAAAGTTCTACAACATGGTATATTTGGTTTTTCATTTCTCAATATGTTCTCTTGTCTGAAAAGATCTTTTAAACGCCGTGGCCAGAACTTTTAGTATGCCCTAAGTATATGTATATACAGGGCTTATCAAAATTATAGATCCCCTTTTGTCGTTGAGATTTTTCAATGAAGACGAATAGCTAGATCAAATCTAAATAGTG